ACAAACTACCTACAAGTTTTTCATTAATAATCAGAAGGAAAGTTTTAAATCAATGACAGGTTTTCCTCATTCAAGGTATGATCAAAATATATGGTGAATGTTTAAATTTAAAGAATATACAGTGAAATATATATTTCCATTAATAATTTTTCTTACATAAAACATCCAATCATTCTTTACACTTTCTATAATAGTTCCAGAAATCCATTTTTACGAATGTCTTTAGGAGCTCTGATTAAAAAATACAATGACTGTTGATGCTGCTGAATGCCATCCAACAGAAACACAGGCGCCTAAAAATATTATGGTATGATCTCATCCACCTTATTCATGAGAACTGGCACCACATGATTTCTGGCTCTTCCCCAAGGTCAAAATGGCCATGAAATGTAAACATTTTGAAACAATTCAGGAAATTGAGGCAGGCACAACAGTACAAGCAAAGACACTCATGGCAGAGAACTTCCAATACTGTTTCAGAAAAATAGCAAGAATGATGGGATAAGTGAAATTGAAGCAAGGGGGAGTGTTTGAGGAGGATTGATGGCAATGTGTCTTTTACTGTAATTTAAAAAATTTTAGTATTCATAATTTGTTTGAATCGCGCCTAATGTACAGTGTGATGGAATACTTTCTGTTACATAGAAACTCTTTTCTGGATTTACACACAGAATAATGATTTCTTCTACCTAAAATTATTGTGTGCAGCTCCATTGTAGTTATTTGCATTCTTATTTGTCTCCTTTGTCATATTCTGATATTTCAGCACAAAGAATGATTGAAATTGCTGTCTTTCTGTGTTCACAGTGCCTTGTGTGAAGACTGTGATATGTGTCTACTGAAAGTTTTCTATTGAATTAAACTTATAGGTGCTTAATAAAAATTTATTTGACAAAAGGCTTCATTCCAGACCCATAACACATACAAGTTACAGGAAAAATTATGAGGAAAATTCGTACAGCAGGGAGATAGTGCAAAGATAAACAACCTGATTTAAAATGCAAATGGATTGTGAATTATTTATATTATATTCTTGTCACAGCCTTGTTCATTTAAAATTTGTTTACTCAGAGGATTGAATGAATGTTAAGTACTTAGATTAAGTAAACCCTAGGATTGAACCACTCAAAAATTATATAGAATGATGGAAGAGTTAAAAAATAGCACATTATACTTTAGTAAAACCAGGAAGAATCCATGGACAAGGTAGAATCTTTAATTAGAGATGGCTGAGTTTGTTTAGCAGAGAAAGAAATTGTAGAAATATGGTACTTTTTTTTTTGGAGAAGTCTAGGCAGGAAAGAGAACAAATGAGAAAAAAAGATAGAGTAAAATAGAGTGTGAATGTAAAATAGTAATCACTGATATCAGACCATAATGAAGAGCAGAGATGAGATAGAATAAAAGCCTGTCAGAAGAAGAAGGGTCAAAACCTCTCCTTTTCCGATGGAAAACTGATGCCCATCAAAATAAGAAGTTTTAAGAGAATCCTCATTCTATCTATCCATGATTCAGTGAGCTTTTCCTTTTTTTAGGGGAAAAGAAAGTTCTCAAAAATGATAATCATTATTCTGAAGCACAGTATACATGGTTTTTGTGCCCTTTCTTTTCTGAAACTTTATATCTATGCTGAGGGAAATTAGTAACATTCAGTCATTTTGTGGCATTAACACAATTACTTCTCATTATAAAAGTATGTGATATATACCAACATTATCTCCATTTTTCAGAGAGGAAATTGAGGCACATAAAAGTTACATAGGTTCAGCTTTTGAACCTAAATAATCTTGAGCAACTGCTTCTACTTCTCCACTTGGTTATACAAATAATAATTGTTGGAAACTTTATTACCTCCAATATGCAAAAAAGTTATGACATATTTTATAATTGAAATATAATCACTTCCTATCTCATGGGAAACTCCTTCATTGTCTGCTGCTGTATACCTGAGAGACGAAGGTCAACTCCAGGTCCGATATCTTTTAGATGAGTGATGACTCTCTTTTTTTGAAAGGGAATTCCAAAAGTGCTATGGGTTAGATTGAATAGTCATCCTATATAGTACGGAATAAAAGAAATGCAAAATCCATTCAGTTCTCTTTGTCACTAGATATTCTAAAATTGCTGTCATGACAATTCAAAAAAAGTGAGGTCGATGTCAAAGAAAGGAGGCTTCCCTAAGTCTGGCATGTCCCAAAGTATAAACGGAAAGATTAAGCACTTCAAATCTTATTTTCACAACCTGAAACATTATGAGGTATTGTGGAAGCAGCAATGCTTAGCTAACACTCTTCAGTCTCCCATTAACCACCTATGTGATCTCTGGTAGTTCACTGGATATTGAAAATGTAGCAGAACTATTGGTCTAGGTCATTCTCTCTTCTCTCACACATTTGACAAAAATCTATAATGACAAAGCACAGAGACAGCAAATTTTAACAGAATTTCCAAAGACCACATCATTTGGTTAATTTAGTTTGACCTTCATCATAGACACTCTTGCTACTACACATAAAAGGGGAGGAAGGCCATACCATGAATATGCACTCAACTAAAGAGAAAGCATTTAGTCTCCAGCAGACAAGTCCTATGTGACAACTGCATTTGTACATATCTGTAAGGTGAGAAATTTTTACATTGGATACAGAAAAACACAAGGGGCCAAGAGAATGACAGGCAGAGGAAGATTAGGGCAGCTCTGTTAGTGAAGGATCACAGTGTTTTATTCTTTGGAGAATTTTAAAAGACTTCAAGAAAATATGATACTTTCTCTGGAGCTGGGGGTAATTTCCATATGTTTTTAAATTTGTGGGGGTACAATTCTTTGGGGTTATTTAGGTCTTTCAAATAACTAATCTCTGTGTAAGTTTTTTCCTTTTTTTAACAAGAGACCTGTATTTCCAATCTAGTTTAAAAGAAGAATCATGATGCAGATTCTCCTTGAAGATGGTAAACCATGAGACAGCATCACTTTAAGGCAACTATGACTACTGGTTGTTGCTTGCAGGAGGGCTAATTTGATGCGAGTGGGAGGAGCAGAGCATTAGTGCACAGGAGCCATTGGAAGTGAGGTAGAGATCTTTGAGCATTTGCTGAGTGTTACTAGATGGAGCAACATTATTATGCCCAATTTATAACTGGCAAAATGGAGGTTTCTAAAGCCTGATTTGACAAGTGGCAAAGAAATGGTTAGTGCTCAATTTGGGATCCAAACTCTAATGCCAGAATTCATATTTGTAACCTTGTCAGCATAGAGTGCACACAACCATTCATAATATTATGTAACATTTCTGCCTTCCTTATTTACACCCAAATGCATCACTTAGTTCTTTTGAAGGGAAGAGAGTCTCCCTGTGAAACATGATGATTAAGTTCAAAATAAAGCTCACTGAAATGTAATTTGGGGGAAAGATAGTAAAGAGGGTCACAGTCCTTAAGAAAAATAGTTCAAACAGACCACAGAGATGCCACCATAGATTGCAATGTAGAATTTTTATTGTAAAAGTCCACATGTTAAGCAATTTCCTTTGTGAAAAGGTTTTCAAATACATAGACAGGGAGCAGCTGATAACTAAAGATTCAATTATATATAATATATATCATATTGCCAATACTGTGCACACATTGGAAAGCTAGCTTTTTTTAGTGTCCTCATTACAGAACACATTTCAAGTTGACAATAACAACATATTTCTCATCATTGAAATTTGCCAACAACTCTCCCAAAAAGTCAACATTGAATATTTTGACAGTTTGAAACAAGAAAATAATTCATTCTATTTACATGTGAGGTTAAATACTACACCACTGATACATTAAATGGTTGTAAAGTTGGCAGCTAAATGTATTTCAAGATTCATCCACATGACTTGATGATGACTTTTACATGGTTTTATAGCAAAAAAGCCACTCTCTCTTTTCTATTCTTTTTAGATTATCTGTAAAGTTATACTAGCTATGATAAGTTCTGACTTAGAGAAATGATTGCCATAAAGCATAACAAGGGATACTATTTTAGAAAAATAAGGATTCAGGATGAGTATATGAAAATTGGGCTGAACTCATCATGTTTCAAGTCTATGGCAATCATTTCTTTTAATTAAAATATAGTCTAATGAGGCCACTAACCCAGGCTTAGTGGCCTCCATGTAAGCTATTCATTTATTCTTTCAATTTTTAAATTAATCTTCAGTACATTTTTTTCAGAGTATAGAATACTACATTCTAAACCTCAGTCAGGTATGAATCTTGGTTATGCCCATCATAAATTCACAAGCAGAATTTTGGATGGGTCATAACTGACTCATACCCAAACCTGGAAGAATAATAAATAAAACTCTATGTTCCAGTAGTCATTTCTGTACACAAACATAAGACAGAGCTACTGTTTTAGAAGAAGTACAGACTTTGCCTAAAACAATTTTTTCAAGATGAAAAAATAGCCAAAGTTCATTGGATCCTCTGCTTATTTCTATAAGATCCAATATCACTTGCTAATGCCACTATGAAAGGATGGCTCACTCTTTCCAAGGCCAACACAGAAAGATTCACCAGAAGCTTGTGAGGGCAACTCAACTCAAACTCTATTTCCTGAGCACTATGTGCCAGGCACTGTGCAGGGTGCTGAGAACCCAAAGAAGAAATGACAGGGATTCTGCCCACAAGGCACTCACAGTCACTAAAAGCAGGTCTTGAGATGGAGAGTAAGTTCTGTTAAGATCTATCATCCTAAAAGGAAGAAAAAATAGCGGCAAGCACATGTCATTACTTAATATTCCACTTAGGAAACTGGGCTTATTTAGAGTTGGCAAATGTCAGTTATTCAGCCTATATTTTACTTAAAGTTTGTAATATGTCATACAAGAAAAAAAAAATCCAAATCTTCATGCATGAGGGAGAAAGCATTGAAAATTCCTCCCTCCAATTCTAAACCCAAATCTTTGTAATTACATTCATGATTCTTTTAAAGCCCAAAGACAAAAATAAAAGACAGTACATTATGAAGATAACTTCAATCCATTTATTTTGGCTTTAAAAAGAGGCATGCATTAAACTTGAAGCATTCTATGGTACTGAAATATTTACATCATTGTACATGTGACGTGGAGGAAGTTTTCTTCCTATCTTGGGAAAAAGGCATAACAGGTTTCTAAACTAGGGTTTAATATCTAAATTGAGTTGTGATTCTTCTCAAATGTGGGACATATTCTATTGTGTTCAACTTTATCACAACTTGACCCCGAGTGCACAAATGATATAGTGTTGGACTTCTGCATCTAATTGCATTATGAATCAGTAAGAATACCACTACCATATAAATAGCCTATATCAGTTGCTGTAACTGAAAAGTATCTTGCTTGATTTCAATGTTCTTGCCCTCATTTTACTTTTCCTCGCAGGTTTGAAACACAGCACACACTGAAGTTCAAATTACACTAATTAAAGGAGAGTTGGGCACAAACAATACATTATACAATTTACCGTGTTATGACATAAAAACAAACTCGATCATTATTGACTACATGGAGGATTCTTTAAATAAACGTAGAAAGGACATCTTCTTTCCATGAGATTCAGTGAATAAGACCCTCATCAACAAAACCCGTATCTCTTCACAGGTAAAGGTAGGAGACCCAATAAACCAGATTGAACAAGCAGAAGGCAGTGGGAAAGAAGATTCGAGCATATGAGTCCATTTTGGCAATGCGGATGTGTATCCTTCCATGTCTCCAAGCTCCTGTTCGGCAGTCTTCAAAGCAGCAGAAGAAACTGGCACAGTCCTTGCCATCGAGACACTCATACCCGTATTCTTCATCCCTCTCTTGAAGGTGGGCGGCATTGTTCATTTGAATGGTGGCTGATCTTGGGCGTATATCAATGGTAGGGGCCTGAGACAAGGGTTGGGAGGGAGAGGGATCAAAGTGAGTAATACTTGACAGATCTTAGACTGTTTTTCCACAATGTCACCAATGTGATGATGAATCAGAAAATGGATACTCAGGAAATTGCTATGACATCGTGATCTACAATGATAAAATTGAACTCAGAAGGATAGCACATTTGCAGATTTCAAAGTTTGAGCTTAAAGCAGTGCAGCTGAAAATGATATCAAGCTAATAGCTATAGCAAGAATATTGAACACCAAAAGAACTCAAAGTTTAAAGATTTAAATCAAACTACATGAAATCTTGTTCTAGTAATCATTAGATGTGAAGTTGGTTAACATGAAGGCATTTAATGGTATTGCATGTGAGTGAAACAGAGAAATAAAAATGCATCTATTTTGAAATCAAATTTTAAGTCATGCTTACTTATAGGCAAATAGAAAAACCTCATTATTACATTGAGCAAATGTGTTAAATGATGTTAATAGAAAATGTTAAAATATATATGTAAATATAAACATTAAAGCTTCTTGACTTTATATTACAAAGGTTTAAATTTTAGAAAAATGTGATACTCTGCCTAACATTCTCTAACTTTAAGCTTAAGAATGTCAGCAATATTTACTTCCGTATGTATGAAATTTCCAAAGAAAAAGAAGGTAAGTACTTATCAAACTCATTTTAGCATTTGAGGAGAAACTAGTACTAGTTCTCTACATGCTAATCTGTCATTTTTTTCCAGAGCCTAATAAAATTTCTATAAAACTAAAGGATTTGTTTAATTTTGATTTGTCTGAGTTAGCTTTAGGATAATATAAAAACAAATTTTAATTTTTCTTAAAGAGCTATCAGAATTGAACAGAAATCTCCTTGCCATATTTCATATAGGCAGCTGGCTGGTAAGTGCCATAGGATGGAAGGATGGATGTTTTAACTTAGTCTTTTAAAGACAGGATTTTCTTAAAAAATTCATAAGTACAACTCAGAAAAATGAGGAGTAAGTTTTCAAAACAACATCGAAAATCCAATTTTTGAATTAGGATTTACAGAGTTACATTTAGTTGTAAGAGAATGCATATATGGTAGTGATAGCCAGTGAAACTGCATCACATTTTAATCTGAGGAGAGTGGGTCAGATTTGGCTTTGATATTTAAAGAGACCCTCATTACTTGGGACATGTCATGGGGCTTATAGCTTTAGAGCCTGATGTAAGATCAAAATTTATGTGAATTAGTATTTGCTGAATCAGCTTAGAAATCCATAGAACTTTCTCTATCTTAACATATTATCATCAGCAGAATGCTTAAATGTCTATTCATTAAAAAAAAAAAACACCATGTAAGCATCAATACTTAAATTCAGCAGTTGCATGCAGTGAATTCCCATTCCAAAAACATTATACCTTGAAGGAAAACATCCGAAGGAGCTTTGGGTTTGTAGACAGAAAAGAGAATCGCATTTTTTTTAATAAAAAGAAGGCAAAAGGGAACAGAAAGAAAAGAGAGACAAAATAAGATAAATTAAAGATACATTTTGAAAACATAGTAGTTAAAACAAACTGAAATTATGAACACAGAAGAGGAGCTCTGAGCTTTGGATAAAGCATATTCCTAAAGCAGGAAAACGGAACTTTGTGATTCTAGAGAAAGCATCAATAAATTACCCCACAATTATCTGACTGCAAAAGCCAGTCTTGTTCAATGGTTAATAAACTTCCTATTATCTGATATCCCATATAGAAAAACTACTAATTTATTTTCTAATTGCCATCAAGAAGGCTTTCACAAGTCAATCTTGACAAAATGAGCCAAGATCTTATTACACAGGAAAATGAAATTTTAGCTTCTCATTCACCATTTAGGGTCCCACTGGCATTTATAAATTAAGGAATTGGCTTAAAGGGGAAATTTTTCTGGTAATATCATTTTCTCACTTCCTTGAATCCTCTTTCCTGTTTTTTTCCTGCTATTTCCATGACCCTACACTAAGAAATCCAACTGTTTCTATTTCTGTAACAAATCCACTCAGCAATGACACCACTGGTAGAAAAGACCATAGGACTTTTTCTAAATATCTCTTTAGAAATTGTCTGAAAGCCAGCCCTCATATGCTCACTCTAGCTGGCAGGTAGGTACATGGAGTGTCAAAAGAGCCATCTTCTTGAGAGAGGATGAGATGAAAAGTGAAGGAGGGGAAGCAAACAAAAAAAAGAGCACAACAAGGAAAATAAAACAAGGACAGAAAATATTAAAAGGCAGAGAGAGGCAAACTGATAGAAGGAAGGAAGGCATAAAGTATAGTAAATATTTAAGAAATTAAAAATAATCATTTTTGTTTTTATTAATCACCAGGAATAATTATTGGTCTTTCTTTACCTGCTACAAAGTCTCATATTCAAATAGACATGTGCCATTTGTAGAATTTTAAGTGGGCTTCTAGATTCTTTCTTTACACTTTAGGCTGAAAAGTTCATGAATCAGATAGTTTGCCCCTGTCATGGTTCTCATGTCTCAGAGCTAAAACCAGGCAAGGTTTTAAAGCCAGAGTGTACGACCACTACCTTAGCTCCTGTCTTAGAAGGCCCTTGTGAGCCACGTGCTCTCCCCAATACTCACAATGAAACACAGTGCCTTAGATATTTATATTTGTGTCTCATCCTCACTGTTTAAAGTTTAGTACAAGCAAAAGTCGTTCCTACCTTTCTCCAAATCCTATAGACATTGTAAGAAATTTAGGTTGTAATTGTATAAATCATCATCAACTGTCATCACTAACTACTAAAGATAAGGATTTTTATGTGATTTCTTGATAATATTTTCAGGGTTATTTTTGCTTGTTATCCTCCATTACTACATTTATTTCTCATACCAACCTTCTAAGATGTTTATTTTCAACAATATTAATTTTATTTTATATATAAGAAAATAAAAGACCCAGGGAGGTTGAGTAACTTCCTCAAACCATAATGAGCTATTTGTTTTAAAAATAAAAACATACATGTTAATACACAGCCAATAGAAGTCCTCTGATAGCCACACACATATACAGGCATGCACGCACACATGCATGTACACACACTCAATACACATGCACACATTAAGTTATTTGCAAAAGTTTGGTAGTTCTTGAATCTTCAAGAACCCGAGGCTTCCCAGCAAAATGTCTTGGATGAAAGTTTTAATTTAAAATATCAGTAATTTAAAGTATTATAGGGAGTTGGACAGAAAGATGAAAATCAGTGAAATGTGGAATAATAGCAAATGGTATATCAATGCATCCCAGAGCAGTAATTTTAATCCCCCAAAAATGCAAAGAGAAGGTAGTTAGTTACATTAGGAGAAGGACTCTGATGTAGAGAACAGGTCTCTCTCTCAACTAACTGGTGACCGTAAATTTTATTTATGGCATGACAAAAGCTCATTCATTCTATTTTCATTTTGAAGCCCAAAGTGCTGAGCCTTAGCATACAGATAAGCTAACAGAAGAAAACCAACTGAAACCTATGTGCTCTTTCTGCATAAAAATCTCAGTGGTCCCAATGGGAAATGATACATACAGGATTTTTCTTCTTTTTGTCTTTGTCCTTGCTTGGTTTCCGATTGCTGACAAAATAATGCAGAGTGCCATACTCCACCAGAGCAGAGAAGACAAAGATGAAGCAAACAGATACGAAAAGATCCATTGCTGTGACGTAGGAAACCTTCGGGAGAGATTTCCGGGCGATGGTACTGAGGGTGGTCATTGTCAGGACAGTGGTGATACCTAAAGAGAAGCACAAGAAAATAGATGACCTTGTAGTGTCAGCCGGTTGATGACTTAGTCACTCCTGAAAGGAAATTTCTTTTGTGACTTCTGATAAGTAACCTCAGTAACTGGGAAAGAAGGTATAACTAGAATTAATTCTCTCTCTCTGCAAATACTGCTATCTACTGGGTATCAGTAATGGTGGCAAGCACTGAATAAATGTATTAGATTTGGTCCTGGTTTGTATGTGCCTTATATATCAGTGAAAGAGACAAAGGATAAATCAAGTTAGCAAAGGAAAACTTGATTTCAAGTTACAGTATGTGCCATGGAAAATGGCAAGGACAGCGATAACCTAGTTAGATGCAATGCTCATGGGAAATGGCCCATCTTTTGAGGTATTTCAAGGTGTACCTACCTCATAATTCTAACTCTTTGAGGCCCTCTTGAAGGGGTTGATATCTGAAGTCAAGCTCCAAATGTAATAAAAACCAAAGTTTTGACTATGAGTACATAAGTTGAGGGTTCTGAGAAGGAAATATTGTCTACTTCTGAGGTTTTAGAATACCTGACATATGGGGAGGGATAGGGAGATCATGGTGGTGTTGGTGAAATAGAAGTTGTATCATGCAGTGCTTGCAGAAAGTGATAGTTTCATTCAAAGAGCAAGGAGAAATCATGCAGAAGTATTGAATAGAAGAGGTAGGTCACATGTAAATGACACGATATGATCTTAGAATTATTTGATAACTATTGTAGGATGAAAACAAATATCTCAGAAATAACATAATAAGTAGAATTTACTGAAAACTCCTTTGTTCTAGGCATTATCACGAATATTTTATGTGCTTTTTTTTTTGTATCAGAGATCAAACTCAGGACCTTGTACTTGCAAGGCAGGCATGGTGCCACTGAGCTAAATCCCCAGCCCTTATGTGCATTATTTCTTTGAATCTTCATGATGAATATTTCCATTCTGATTGTATAGGTAAGGAAAATGAGGCAAAAACCCCAGCACCAAATCCAGAAGTTAGTAAAGGTGCAGAAGAAAGGTTTGAACAAAAGAATTCAATATCTGATTTCAAAACTGTTTTTTTTCTATATTATATAACCATACCCAAGAAAACTAACTACCCCCAAATGGTTGATTCCTGACAGGGAATAAAATTAATATAACCTGCATGCAATAACCAGGGAACAATCAGAGGTTCTCTGGGAAAATCTGTTTATTTAAGAAAGGCAACATGGATTCAGGATTTTAATCAGTTCTAGATCATGCAATAGGAACTTTGTCATCTTAACCATTTGGACCTCTGTTTTCCCATCTTTTGATTTAAATCTTGGAAGGGCTTATTCTCTGATTCTAAGTTTGCATTTCCTCTAATAATTGGCAGTATATTTTTTTCTACTCCAGAAAGAATATGTCCATCCCTTTACTATCACCAAGTCTGTGATATATTTCTCACAGGGGAAAAAGGCTCACAAAGATATCATTTAGTAACATGCAGTGATTATTATTGCCAACCAAGAGACTCTTAGAGGACAATCACATTATCCTGATCCAAAAGGATATGTTGGATAACTCACAAGGAATCAGCCAGATTGAAATGAAGAGCATGGGGGAAAGAAGCTGCTGAGAAGAAAAGTGGCATCATCCAGGAAAGGGGAAACATTTTCTTTTAAGACGTGGGTCACTGATAGAATATGCTCAGAAGATGAAAGAGCAGAACTAAAACAGTTGAAACATTAAGAGAAGAAAAATTGACATTTTTTTTCCCTAATCTCTCAAGTTCTTTGTCAGAGCCATTTTTAAAACATTTAACTATGTTTCCAAGAACATGTGGCTCTCTTGGGTCATTTAATCTTAGCTTAACATCAAAGTTTTCAGTGTTATGAAATCCCACTGAGGGGTAAAGGGTGTTAGTTGAAACAACTTCACTTCACAGGAAAGAATAGGCTTTAGTAAAGGAGAGGAGTGATCAAGGGAACTATACTTCTAAATCCCCAAGGCCTTACTACTGGTTGTCTAATGATCCATCTCTCTTTCTCTTTTGTATTTTCTGTGACAACATCTGTGTCTCATGACAATTGTAAACTCACAGGTGAGCATAGTGCTGTGTCTCAGTACATATTTGTTGAGTGAAAGTGTAAAGAATCAATGAATAATATATATGTGAATGCTCAAAGAGACTCAATCTCCATTTGAGAACAGGAATCCTTATTTATGATATGTAAGAGACAGCTTAACACCTTTGACTGGGTACAACATCAAGTGCATTATATATTTATCCAATCAAATCTTCACAATCTCCTTATATGTATCTTATGAAGCATCAGGCAGTTAGGAGCTACTATAGATTATAGTATTGATTGGGGAAATGACGTGGATCTGAGGGTCTTCTATGTATTGGCAGGTGGTAGACCCTTTAGCAGGGGAACCTAATGGAAGGAAGTTAGGCCCCTCGTGATTATCCCATAGAAAATGACAAATACAGGTGACAATATCTAGTAAAGTCTCAATAATAAAGTTAAAAATTGCTATCACTGATTTTAGGGAATAAAGTTCTATTTCTTTTCTTTTCTTTTTTTTTTTTGGTACCGGGGATTGAACTCTGGACCTTGTGCTTGTGAAACAGGAGTTGGGGCACCTTTGAGCTAAATCCCAGGCCCAAAATTCTATTTCTTAAACTTAAAAAGTTTAATTAGGCTGTCTATGAATTAATTAATATTAGAGTTCTTGATTGTACCTAATTATACCTATTTTTATCAAAAATTTAAAGATTACCTTGGAACCATGGTCTTTATTTCACAATCAGGCCTCAAGCCAAACTTGACCCATGACAGGTGAAAATTTCAGGGTATTTTTTGGAAACAGGGTTCAAACTCGGGACCTTGCACTTGCGAGGCAGGCGGTGGAACCACTGAGCTAAATCCCTGGCGCAAAATTTCAGTATTTTATGGTGGATAATACAAATGAGTTCACTTTTTAAAACCTGGAATGAGATATTTTAAGCAAAAAAAATTCTGACACATACACTATATACTTGTCTTGGCTGCATGGATGTTTATCACAGCCATGCAATGTGTGATCTTGAATAATTACTTCATATTTTCAGAATGCTGCTTGGAGGTAGAGGGAATAGAATTGCTATCACATCAAGAATAAGAAGTCGAGAAGTCATGGTTTTATCTGATTCACCCACCAACAATTTAATACCTTGAAATGGTTTTTAAATCTAGTTTAACCAAACAAAGCGATTAGACTTCTCTTACTTGAGGTAGATGAAAACTATAACTTCTACCAAGAAAATAAGCTTTTCAAAGATGTTAGTTCACCTCTGATTATGTGGGTGAAAAAACCCCATTTTTATTTTCATGTGTCATCATTACAGTGTATTAAATCTCACTAGCTACCATCTGTGTACCAAACTACATGCAAACAGTATCAACTTCAGTATGACTGTGACTCATGCACCAGCCATGTTTGCTCAGAGAACAGCCAATATCTTTGAGCAGTTGTGGCATATTTATCTCACTCATCCAGCAACTTGGGTCTAACTATTCTTTAGCAATAAGCTTAAAGTTTGCAGGGACAGGCATTCAAAGTTATCTCCTTTATGCCCTGATTATAAACATTGAAAAAGGTAATGGAACTCAATGAAAACTAGAGCAGCATTCTGAAAGGTGACTGAGCATTAGAATTACCTTTTATTATTTATTTATTTATTTATTTATTTATTTATTTATTTTGCGGTACTGGGGATCGAACTCAAGACCTTGCGCTTGTGAGGCAGGCATGGTGCCACTGAGCTACATCCCTGGACCACCTTTTTTTTTTTCTTAAATCTTAACACCCAGGCTGTGCTTTTGAAAAATTAAATAATCACATATTAGGTTTGTTCTAATAACATAGTGCTGGGTGTTAGTGAGAACACTTTAAAAAGTATTCTTTTTTGAGCATGCCTGAGTTGTAAATAATCAAGCAACAGGAGTATATACATGGTACTCAGGACCCTCTCCCACATTCCTTAACTCACCTTGGTCCCTTCTTTCAACACAATCTTTTTGCCAATGGACAATTGTTAGTGAGTGACTGAATGAGCTACCTACTTGGTCATAGAAGGGATTTTGGCCAGCAGGAATCCAGGCTTCAAGAGAAGAGATTAAAATCTTTTCCTTAAAATGTTTTTGGGGAACAGGGTGGACTAGAATATATTGATGTATTTTTCCATCTATTCATAAGCATATACATCAATTAAATAATCATCAGAGTGCCAGCTATGTGGCAAGCCCTATGCTAGAAATGCAAACCATTTACATTCTGATCTGAGAGATGGAAAGGTAAGCTTTGAATGCCACACATTCTACTCACTAGTGATAAGTAATCGTCCTCAAGTATTAGGTTCCATGTATGTTGGTTTTGTTTCAGCATGTAGCATTAGACATTTGAATTGCTGAATAGGACTTCTAACACAAAGTACTGCGTATAACAGGAAAAATTAAAATAGCTTCATTGTGAAACAGATGGGGGACTCAATTAGGTTTGCAAGAGGACAGATATGCAAAAGATTTCTTCTCCAGTAATCATTTCTGCTCTCAGTTTAATAACCTAGTACAACTCATTTTATCAGAAAAAGACTATAGTGGCCATCATTTAGGAGGATTTACTCTCTTCAGTGTGCTTTGCATAGAATAATGTTAATTGAATGCTACAAATAAAATACAGAAAATGATAAATACTTTACATACGGGGAAAGTGTGATTTGTAGAGAATAACGGGCATTCCGAGGTCATACTGTCTGTGTGACTCAAATTCCAGATCTGTTACACTTAATAACCCAAGTTCACAACAATTGCATCTTTAGTCAGACAACAATTACCTCTTTAGTCAGAGGATTATCTAGGGTAGTACTTTTAGGCATCACACAGCTAATGAGAGGGGATTGTGGTATTACAATTCATCTTTCCCTTGTTGTGTATTTAGTTAATACTTTACAGAGCTTCATGTAATATGAGCATTTCATTCATGCACATAGCCCCTAATGTCCCTGGGAGTCTGTGACTTTGTTTTAGCCTATGTAAGACTTCTTCCTCAGCTGCAGAAAAGATATGAAAATCTAACACTAATATTACTAATTATAATACACTGAACAAACTGCAAATAATCTTAAAAGTGGTTTTGTTCCTAAAATTTTGCAGGTGAATATGTTTTTCCAAAAAAGTGTTCTTTTCCCTGGCTCTTTTATCGACAACCAATTACTTCAAATATCTTCAAAATAAGTATGCATGTTGCTATTAACCAATGGACTGTTATGTGCTGGGAAATGTATAATAACTGGCAAAAGAAAACAGAACAGCCTGATTTTTAATGTTTGGATATTTATGTTGTTCATACTACCATCCTGGCTGACTTCTAGCTAACTATGCAACACAAATAAACACAGAATCGGAAAACGATAGACAGTTAGTTTTCATGAGCTGGTATGAGCAAGTTCAGCATGTTAGTGCCCAGAAACTAAAACAAAATTCTGTTGACATTAGTTTTTGTTGTTGTTGTTAAATTAAATTTATTTTAAAATGTGCTAAAAGAAAACCCCTCCAATTGATGTAAATAAGAAAAACAGAACTACAGAACTAGGGAAGTTTAAGACTGGTTTTAAATACGTTGGCTTTCTTTAAAATAAAGCAAATGCATTTCTGTGTAACTACAGACTGGATTTAAAGCACATCGATTTAGGAGAGGAAGAAATGAATCTCACCTAAAGATGTCCTGGCTGGAACAGCATCCTTGTTGATCCAGAAAGACACCCAAGACAGGACCACAATGAGCGTGCAGGGGATGTAGGTCTGGATGGTGAAGTAGCCCATCCTTCTGCTCAGGTCAAAGTAGACCGACATAACCACATAGTCTCCTGCAAAAGAACAAAGCACTGTCCAGGATTGTATCTAAACAGGATGCATTTAAAAATAAGCATGTCTTCAGCTCTCCTGCACACACATTTAAACCGAGAGTTCTAGATGTGCTTTATGTTGGAAACTTCTAACCATTGAAATTAAAGCACAATCAATCAAAACACAATACTGCTCCTTAACTGAGTCCTGGTTGTTTTAGAAGCAGTGTTACTACAATACATAAAAACACTTTTAATATGTTGATTATATCTTCTTCTTTCAAATGAGTCTTTATGTTGGCTTCTCTTTGTAATTGACACACAAAGTTGGTTTTTTTTTGGTTGGGAAATTTTTTCTACAGATGTTTATGTTACCTGTAATGTGGTCTACATTTTGTAGACATTATCTGTCTTAAAGCCTTTTTAGAACAGAGAGAAATATCTTGTGACTTGACATGGATAAATTAATACTTTACTCAGAATTCATAGCAAGATTCCTAAGACAAGACATTTTCTGATGTTTTATCAAATTATATTTTGTAGCAGTTACTTAATTTGTAGTATCAGTCTCTTGTACTGACTTTACCTGTTTATGTCCATGAACTGTGCCCAATTTATCTCATCACGGGACATTCACAACTCAGTGTTTTTCTTGACTTCAAATAGGTGCTCAGTAATATATGTTGGTTAAATTAATAAATGGATGGATGGATTTCAAAATTTAAATAGAAAGGTAAGAAGTCCAGAAACTATATTAAGAAATATTTGAAAAAACAAAAATATGCATATAAATCATGGAAGATATGTACTATTAAAAAATACTGAGGAACCAAAGAACAATCATAAAGGTATGCATGAAAATTATTTTTTATTTTAAAAAGTGGAAGTCTCTGATTTTTCTATAATCATGACATATAAACAACTTTTAAAAGTCCATCATACCAAAAATCAGCAAATGGAATCACAACAAATTAGAAAGATTCTACACAACAAAGGAAACCACTAGCAGAGTGAAGAGACAACTACAGAATGGGAAAAAAAATTTTCCAGCTACTCCTCAAGGAATTAATATCTAGAATATACATAGAAATCACAAAAATTAGACCACCCAAGTTTAAACACCCAATTAAGAAATGGGCATCTAAAATGAATAGATACTTTTCAGGTGAAGAAATACAATTGACCAATAAATATGTAAAAAAAAAAAAAAAGGTCAGCAAAACTGAACACAGACTGAATTCAAGAAATGCCAATTAAAACAACACTGAGATCCCATCTTTCTCCAGAAACAATGACTACTATCAATAAATCAACCACTAGCAAATGCTGATGAGGCTGTGGGGAGAAAGGAACTCTTCTCCATTGTTGGTAGGAGAGTAAACTGATACAACCATTATGGAAATCACTATGGAAATTCCTCAGAAAACTAAAAGTAGAAATTCCACATGACCCAGCTATTCCCCTTCTAGGTATCTTCCCAAAAGAGTTAAAGACATCATACCACAATGATGTATGCATACCCCTATTTATAGCAGCACAATTCATAGTAGTTAAATCTTGGAAATAGTCTATATGTCCATCAAGAAATAAACAAATGTAAAATGTTGTATTTATACAAAATGGAGTACTACTCTGTCATAAGGGTATACTTGAGTCATTTGTAGGAAAATGAATGCACCTTGAGACCATGATGTTAAGTGAAGTAACTCAGACCCACAAACTTAAATATCACATGGTTTCTCTTATGTGAACCCCCCCGTATATATACATACATATATATGTATATATACAAAATATAATGCATAATGCAAAGTTAAAAAACAAATAATAGGAAAAAAGAAAGAAAACAAAGGTATTGTAATCCAACATAGACAATGCATGTAAAAGTGTACCTTGACAGTACAGTTGTTTTACATATTTTATATATTCTTTGGGCTATTAGTCTGGTTTTCAATCTGTATATATAATAATTAACTTTATAAGGTATCATAAGATAAAATGAATTGGATGCTGGCAAAATAAAAGGAGGGTAGCAGGAGGGAGGAAGGAAATTGAAATCTGTTGCATACATATACTAATTCCCTGTAGTGAATGTAATCAGTATGTAGTGCAAACATGTACTAATAGAAATGAAAAAGATCAGGATGAAAGAAATCGGGAATTTGGGAGTGGGTGGACTATAAATAAAAGTTATTTTATTCACTAAAAAAGGAAAAATTTGAAGAAAAAATGGAAACAGATCTTTTGAAAGTGGGAAGAGGATGAAGGGTTGGAGGGTGAGGAAGAGAAGTGGTTAGAAAATGAATTTAGATGCATTATGTACATGTACAAATCCCCCCGTGATGAACTTGATCATTATTTACTGAGAACATGTACTCAATCTTAAATAAAAACCTATGAAGGAAAGAAGCAAATTAAAAAAATCATTTCCATTATTTTGTATCATTCCAACTGAAATTTAAATTTAATTTAAAAAAAATTAATTTTTCAATTTATAAAGTATACTATGGATTCATCTGTACAATAAGTTCCTATACATTTACACTTTCTATGTTCCCTTACAGAACATCACATTCAAAGACCCTATCAGAATTTACAATGAGAGATCAATGCATAACACCACTTTTCAAATGTTGCTTCTTTTCTTAATAAATAATATTTAGTTTTGAGATATATCAATAATCAAATTCATATCACTTTCCAACTTAATGATTTGGCTTTATAGCTGTGGTCCCCTACTCGGCTCCTTTAATCTGATCTGAACATAAGACAGAGTAAGAAGCCTCATGAGGGGGAGGCTGACTGAGGTTGGGCATTACCACTCAGTCAAGCTTCTAGCTCTTCTCAGGCTCTACCTCAGAGGCTTCCAAGCCACTGAGATAGAACATCTTTCCTAGATTTACTTTTAGGGACTGCAGAGCTGCAAGATTTCCTCAGTAGGCTCTGAATATTTCTTGGCACTGTGTTTTGGAAGGTTCTCTCATCACTTCTGGTCTAAGCTAAGTCTGAATGAGGGAGTAATCGTGATTTGGCACCAAGAGTGACATTGGGCTTCCAGTGAGACACTAGTACTCTCACAGAGATAAGTGAGGAGAAATTATTTAGCAATTATGGTCAAATAATTGAAGGTTGACATCTTTTATTAACGATAGCGACATTTTACCTAATTTCTTTTTATTGTGCTGCACTGTATTATCTGAATATAGAGCCATTTAAAGTCATAGCATGTAATAAATTAGTCTGGCCTCTGCTTCTGTCCTACTTCAAATGTAACAGACACAGACAAGGATTAAAGAGTAAAAAACATTTCATTGATTTTTGCTAACATCCATTTTTTTCATTGATCAGAATACCGGAAGCAAATAAACGCTCTCTGCTTCTCCATAGGAAACATAAACAAAGCGGCATTTCTTTTGAAATAATTATATCCAGGGGTAGTTTTTCTCCTGTTTACTATGTCCTTAAATTTACTCCCCATTTTCAATGTGTTAAATTAAAATTTACAAATGTTAATACTTTAAATACTATAAAGCCTCCCGATTTTAGTAGCGTCTTTCCTCTTTTTCATCGCGGATTGAGAAACGGCACTTGCATATTAAGGATCTGATTCTTTAAAGTTGAACTTTAATTTTGCCAAAGATTAACAAGATAATTATCTTAACTCGATTCTCCCTTTCCCTTTAGATCAGGGCCTAAGCTTCCAGAGTCTTCTTTTTTATCAATTTCTGTTACAAGCCTCAGAACATCTTTCATCTTGGCCATAAAACCAAGGTTTTCCTTCAGTGGATTATGGATCCAAACTCAGGAACAAGCTGTTTAAAAGCAAAGCATCCTCACAGTGTCTGCCTGATTCCTGTCTTATCTCCGAGGCCACGTCACTTTTTGTAGTTTTAAAAGCTCTTGGGCTAGTGTGAGACACTGATAGGGTAAACAAGGGTTAAAATGATTAAAATGAATAAATGATAATGTGAAATAGGAAAGAAAGTTCAAAGACGAAGGGGTGAAGGGAGGGGATGGGGAAAGGAAAGGAGGGAAAGGAAAACCTATGAGAAAAGGAAAAAAAAATGGAAATGATATCTATGTAAATAGGGAAAGGTGGAGAGGGTAAAGGGTGCACAGGTAATGGGGAAAAAATAAGAACCAAGATGTATCATGTACAGGTACGAACACCCAATGATAAATGTAAACGAACTGCATACCTAAAATGTACCAATAAAAGAACTTAAAAAAAAAACAACTCTTGGGCTGAGGCGCCTGCCTATACAATCAAATCCCCTTCAAGTGCTGCCTCAGTGATCTCCCAAGTCAAAAAGGTTTAAATGCCAGCCGTGTCAAAGGTTGTTATTTCAGGCTCTTCAAGTTTAGTTTTTCCATTGATTTATCCTACTAAGCAATGTTTACCTTCATAATATTTAAAATATTAGTTTTGTCCCTGCTTTGACCCAAATCTAGTATATACAGACAGACTGTGATTGAAAAGAGGAGATATATAATCTGAAATAACAACCACAATGTCTATCATTTTCCTTTTTTATATAAACCTCTTATGACTAATTTTAGGAAGCAAATATCAATGTCAACAAAAATGAGGCTGTAATTATATTTTAGCTTTGGTCTTAAAAGTCATATGACAGCAAAAAAATCAGTATTTATTAAGGTAGTTGGCTTCTTATTCCATACATGAAAATATTTCCTCTCAAAAAATTAACTAATGCAATTTCTTTATCTCCACTGAACCTTTGAAATACTAAAAATAATTAATTAATTAATTAATTGTTAATTTTGACCTATGGCAGGTAGATTTGATTGATTCCATTTTCTTTTGAGGAAATATTTTCTGAAATTAGATCTATACCTCACCTTAACACATGAAATAAATTAAAGATACAAATATATGAGTGAATATAAATACACAAGAAAAATATAGAATATCTTTATCATATTTGTTTAGAGAAAAGGCTTTATCATATAAACATAAAATATATAAAGAAAAAAATTACACTTTTACTGTGTAAAATGTA